CTCTCTCTATATATATATATATATATATATATATATATATTTAAAATTTTATTGATCTTTTTAGTATATGATTGTCAATTTTAATAATTTTTATTGTTACTGAACGGAATATTAATTAAACAATTCCGATGGATGCAATTTCTAATATATAGAATATTAAACATTTTCATCATATCAAATTTTGGATAGAATATTAACCATTTCCAATGGATATTTCATAAAAAATCTCTTGTCATAAACCATAAAATTTTTGACAAACCATTATCCATCGATAACATTCCGTCGAAAAATTTTGACTTAAGTATTTGTCAAAAAATTTCGTCAAATTTTTTTACATTTTTAACAAATATCACTACTAGAAAAGTGTCATTTTTTTTGGTAAATTTTCCTGTAAAAAAATATTCGCAGAAAGTTTTTGTGAAATTTCCTGCAAAAAAATATTCGCAGAAATTTTTTACGAATTTTCCTGCAAAAAAATATTCGCAGAAGTTTTTTTGCCAATTTTCCTGCAAAAAATAATTTACAGATATTTCTTACAAATTTTGCTACAATTTTAATAATCATGGGAAAAAAATTTTCATGGTAAAAATTTGCAGAAAATATTGTAAGAATTTTATTTTTTTTCTTGCATATTTTCTTGCAAAAATAAATTCGCAAGTAATGTTTATTAAATGGTAGAAAAATTTTGCAGGTAACTTTTCCTGCGAATTTTTCTGCAAATTTTAATTCGCAGGAAAAATAAAAAAATATTTAAATTCATAAGTTTAATATTTTAAAAAATCTACAAGTCCCACATCGATTGAAAATAAAACAATTAAAGAGTATATAAGTTGGGGCAACACTTACCTTACAAGTTGAATTGTATGGTTGTGTTAGGCTTATAATCTACAATCTTAGAATTTAAAAGATTATGTATGAGGCATGAAAATAAAAGATTATGTATGAGGCATGAAAATAAAAGATTATGAATTCTTAAAATATATAATTTAATTTTTTTGAAATTTTTTCGTAAAAAATATTCCTGCAGAATTTCTTGCGAAAAAATTTGCAGGAAAATTTCCTGCAAATTTTTTTTTGCAGGAAACTTTCCTGCGAATTTTAAAATTCACAAAAATATATTATCCACGAAGATATTACCTGCAAATAAAATTTTGCAGAAAAATTTGTAGAAACAACGTTTCCTACAAATTTTTATGAAAAATTCGCAGGAAAAGTCGCATGTAATTAGAGAAATTCTAGTAGTGTATAAATCCGTCAGATAATATAACTTTACTTACAATTTTTTTTTCATTAGAAATATAAATTATTGACAGATTTGTATATGTCCATAATTTATATTTTTCTTATAGTGATTGCTGCTTTTATACTCCACTACTCTACACTTCATTGTTGTTTCATTATGGTATGTTTTCCTTTATCACGTCATTCTTCATCTTAGGTGTGGGGAAAAAGTATATTTGGATGAGGGATGATGTATAATAATATATTGCATAAAGATTAATGTAATTATCATTAATAATGGTACATGATTGACCACATGTGGCATTAGTCTACCCTAGAATCTGTCTTAACAACAACACTTAATCACTATGTTAATAAGTTTTTTTTTAATATAAACGTGAAGGCTAAAATATATACGCCTTTGATAGAAATAATTTTTTTTCTAATATTTTTGTCACTATAATTCTTTTAGGTTTTTTTTTAACATATTGTCCATTTAATTTATCTTCTTTCTTTTTTATTTTTAAATTTAATTTTAATATTTTCCCAAAAGAATTTATCAATATTTAAATTAACCGTATATCACAATGAAATGATTTATTATAAATTTAAAATATAGCTTATATGTTCAAAAAAATTTATTCATTATATTATTTTCATTTTAATATATTTTATATATTCAAAACCAGTTGATTATTATAAATTTTAAATAAATATTATTTTCTACAATGCAAAATTTAAAGTTATAGTTAAAAAATAAGTGTAATAATATGACTCAAACATTTGTTTTAAAAAAAATAATTTTTGTCGTATTAGCACTTTCTCATATGTAATTTTTAAAATCATTTTGTAAATAAATCGATGATTAATACTATTTTTTTTTGTCTCAACCAAGGTGTGTATTAAAATTATGCATAAGCCAACCCTAAATGAGATTGAGACTTATATTTTGGCCCCAATTTTACATGAAATTTGTAAAAACAAACCTATTATATTCACTTTGTATTCTAGTCAACAAAATTACACTTCAAAAATCTTGTATAAATAGACAAGTACTTTTCTATAACATAAAATGCTACAATACACACATGCAACAAAATAAATAACTTTTGTGACAAATGTTTCTATTTCTCATTATAGTACAGAAAAACGAGACATAAATCATTGTTGTCCATCACAGGGAATACATATGAAGAAAAAAAATAAATTGAAGTATAAGCCAATATACATCATCTACAAAAGTGATGATATATAAATGATCTAATTACTTTTCTCCTGGTAAGAAGAATCCATGTTGATAGAATATAGATCTGTGTCAGACATAAATGCTGAAGTTTCACCCATCGAGATGCTCTCTTCTTGAGTATCACAAGTCTTATTCTTTTCTGTCATTTGATAATATTGTTGGATTACCTCCAAATTCTTTCCATCTAATACTTGGCTTGTTTCTGACAATACATCTTGAACATCAATTTTGCCTTCAAGCATGCATACCACTGAAGCCATGGTGGGTCTATGCAGTGGAGAAACTTGTGTGCATAGAAGAGCAACATTTATCATGACCATCACTTCATCCTTTTTAAAGTCTTTACCTAACCTTTCATCAACTAGGTCCATCAAATTACCATTTTCTTTCAACAGATGCACCTAGCAAAATAAAATATAAAATCAACTTAGTTTTTTGGCATCAATCCACAACTAAATCTATGATACAACATATTAATTTAACATTGTTTTGTTCTTAAAATGTTGTGTTAGATTAATTTTCAATGAGATTTTAATGGAGCATTTATGCAATAACAACAATCTTTTTAGATATTTTAAAAGGCATGAAAGTAAGAGATCATAAGAATAAAAGATACCCAATCAACAAGGGAAAAACACCCTTCTTTTGGCCAATTCATGGAGTTACTTTTTCCACTAACGACTTCCAATGCAACAATACCAAAACTATAAACATCTGCTTTGTCGGTCAAATAACCATGCATTGCATATTCAGGAGCCATATATCCACTACAACATAGAAAATTCATATATTAAATGTTGATGATAATATTTCAAAAGTCAAAATAAATAGACTTATATAAATTGGTGAGGTATCTCAACATATAACCTATATTTCTATATATATATATATATATATATATACTTTTACCTCATAGTGCATGAAAGAATAAATGTTACAAAACGAATTTCATAAAAACATGCTAATAATATGAGAACTCACTAGGTGCCAGCTATTCTGGTGGTTATGTGGGTATAACCCTCTTCATCCAATTTGGCCAAACCAAAATCAGATATCTTAGGATTAAGATCTTTATCCAATAAAACATTAGTCGCCTTGATGTCTCTATGAACTATCTTCAACCTTGACTCTCCATGAAGGTAAGCCAAACCTTTAGAAATACCAACACAAATTTTGTGCCTTGTTGACCAATCCAACTTCAATTGACATTTTTCTTTAGCTTCATTTGCACATCATATATAGAAATTAGCTTAGACAACATAATATATAGTTATATAAACATGCAATGTCTATCATATTAATTCATGAAGAGCTACCAAACTTATTGAATATAAAGAAAAGAAATTACCAAATAAAGCACGAGCAAGACTGTTGTTTTCCATGTATTCATATATTAGCATTAATTGATCTCCCTCCATACAACAACCATATAACTTAACTAGACAAGGATGTTGCAAAGCAGAAATCATGCCAATCTCATTTATAAACTCGCGATTTCCTTGCTTTGATTTAGAAGAAAGTTGTTTAACTGCAATTATTGTACCATCTGAAAGAACACCCTGCATTTCCAAAATCAATAGTAAACTATTGTTTTATGTTTTAGAAGTTGAAAGATGTATCAATAATAATAAACATTTTATTGAAGGTCAAATAAAAATATTGAATATCCAAAATACCTTGTAAACAGGACCAAATCCTCCTTCTCCAATCTTAAAGGCTATATCAAAGTTTTTAGTTGCAGCTTTGATTTGTCGTAAGCTAAATAAGCCAGTTTGCAAATCCACGTCCCTTAACTCTGTTGGTGTAAGTAAGAAAAATAAAAATAGAAAGAACAAAAATTTCATTTTAAAACTTTACACAACATTACAATTGGAAGAATAGAAATTATACTAGACCCAACAACACCATTGAGACCAAATTTCGTATTTTCTTAAGAGTTTGCAAGATACAAGTTATGCAACCAAATTTCGTATTTTCTCTATAAGAGTTTGCAAGATACAAGTTATGCAAGCAAATGCATTCAAAGATTGGGACAAAAATTTTGTTGAAAGCAAAATTTATGAGACAATTTAGTTAATTAGATTTGCTAGATTTAATAGGCTAATAAATAATAATGTGAGTTTTAAAATAAAGCATTGTGCTTAAAATCTTAAAATTTAGTGAAATTCAAGAATTAAACACTTAGGGTTAAAGGTAACACCAATGCCGATCCTTTATCAATACGAGTGTTAATGATAATACATCTAAATAATTTAGTGTCACATTTTGACATTATATGATAATTTTGATGTATTTATATTAGAGGATCAAACTAAGGATGTTTATATCTTTAATGAAAAGTCTTGACTCTAAAATATATAAATATGTAAATCTATTGGATTAAATTATATTTTTAATCTTTTATTTTATTTTTAACATACTATTAATAAAATTACCGTAGTATTTAAAGGGATTTCCCAAACATTGATTGATCCTGCCCCTGCCTTCACCTATATATTTATATTTTATACTAGCAAATCCTAGTAAGTGCAAGAAATTTCTTAAAAGTTTCAACCAAAAAAGTCAGTGATATAGTAGCCTCATAGTTCTTACCTTTTTGTAATGAAAACTTTTGTCTTAGACATCCTTTCCACCAAGCTATACCAAATGCTATGATGATAATAAGCACTCCAGCAACTACTATTGCAATAATAGACTGCACAGGTATGTCATGGCCACCTTCATTTTCCACTGGGGGTTTGAAGTCTGCATGATTATACAACATAAGAGATTTGAATATATACAAATATAAATTAGAATATATGAGGTGATAGTAGGAGAAAATTAATTGCAGAGAAGTAGAACTAACCAGGATCAACAGATATAGCTGATATAAGAGGGCCATGAACTGATCCAAATGGGATAGCAGTTGTGCCTTTCCCAGCCCATTGAAAGTGGATCTCCAAGGTACTACTATTCACAATAGTAGTGAACCTTTTTATGATTGCCCTACCAACTCCACCTGCTTCTTTTGCAATATTGAAATCCTTCAGCACTAACTTTCTCTGCAATACTTCAATCAAAACACAAATGGTTTAGGACGATTAAAAGACAGCTATTCAATAATTTCTCTTTCATAATAAGTATCATCGTTCTAAGTGTTTTTTTTTTTTTTTTTTTTTTTTTTTTTACATAGACTGCAAAACACTAATAAATAAATAAAAAGAATAATAATTTTACAAAATTAAGTTTTTGATAGTTATATTTACCAGAAATGATATAACACAACAACAATTTCCTATAAAATGTTATTAAGAGTTATAAATGAAAAAGGAGTACGTAATTAAAGTTATATTACAAAACTAAAATAAAACCTATTTTGAAACTTAATTTGTTTTTTTTTACAAGACACTTATTATGCGAATATTAATATGGTTGAGAAAGGGAAAAGGATGAAACCATGCACCTGAATATAGATGTCAAATACACGCCTTCCAAGGCTGCTATATGTTTGATCATCAGTGAACATTATTTCTGCAAAATGAAGGCTTATTGTGTAGCTTCCATTTCCCATGCAAAATCCATAATATGTGAGAGAAAGGGCAGAAACACGTGCATCCATGTACAATTCGGCATTATCCATTGCAAGCTTAGTTGTATTAGACCATGTATAATAGTCTACACGACTGCTATCAAAGAAATGACCAGTGTTGCTAAACACCCAATTTGATTCACTTCGACGAAATCTCGCTGGTCCAGCTTCTTGTGAATCATCATCATATACCATGTTTCCTTTAGAAATTAACTTTCCACCACAATTTATATGGAGAGAGTACCAAGCTGGCATAACCAAAGGGTGGGAAAGCCAAAATCAAATATAATAAGAATCTGTTTGAACTTTGGATACAAACTTAAAAATATTTTTGAGAGTTTTTCCACTAAAAAATACTATTTATTTTCAGTAAAGAAGTTCTCAAATGCAATTCTAATTTATACACAAACAGACTACGATTACAACATTAGCAGAAAGCATTCTAACAATATTACAATATTATTCTTATCGACTTACTTTTAGGACAATTATTGTTCCCCAAACATGGAATCGTTCTCCTGAGAAAATAATGGAGCAGGCATAACTAGTTAAAACAATCACGTCATAGTAAGCATATGCATAAATAAAGTTAGTTTAGTAACGTACTATAAAACTTACAAGTTATTTCCCTTCAAAGATGATGCAAACAAGTTCCTAAAGCACATATTAAGTGGCCAAGACTCAGGTAACATCCCAAAATTCAAAATAAATAAATAAATGCAAATTTTAGAATTCTTACACGCTTCCCTGTTGACAAGTCAACTCTTCTGGGTTGTCAATGCTTAAATTGTTATATGAGAGATCTCTGTCAATTTGTGCATATGGTTTGGAGCCAAAGATGAAACAAATAATTATAAGTAACACTAGTGGCGCAGAAAAAACTTGAGAATATTGGTGTAATAATTAACATACAAAGGATATAATTTAGTTTAAAAAATCTTATAAATTGTATTTGAAGGATTACTTACGTGTAATCTGGCCTATCTATCCAATTGGGCAATGGTCCAGTAAAATTGTTTCCAGTTAAATATCTAGGTAAAAACAATATAAAGAAGTCAATTTATAGAAAATAATCATTGATAACCCATAAAAATGACAAATGGTAGAAAACTAAAACCCATTCCCAAATAATTTGGATGTTCCCCAAGGATCTTATTGCCTTAACTAGGTTGAAAATCTAGAATAGTCATAATATAAAATAATGTCATACTCACATATTATGGAACTAAAGAAGATTGCTTACAATAAATTTATATCGTTTAGGCCACCCAAGGTTCTCGGAATCTGTCCAGTCAATTTGTTAAAACTGAGGTCTCTGAAAAAGAAATTATGTCAAAACTAGCTAGTATTTTTATAAGAAAGAAAAATAATGACATCAGAAAATAAACATGGAAATGCTTAGTCCCTTCATGCAATGAACAAAAACATGCTGATACTCTTCACCAAAATGATAGACGAGTAACAAGAGCAAGAATTACAAATGTTTTAAGAATTTGTTTGAATATAAATTTATAAATATTTTATTAATTTTTTTACTGAAAAATATTATTTATTTCAAACAAATTTATAAGTATTTTTGAAAAAATATTTTATTAAAAATGCTCTGGTACAAAAACTTTCAAAAGTATTTCTAACTTATATTCAACCATGCAGACTCTAGATATATATAAATAATGCAAGAAATGTCTGAATAGTACCAACCCAGTTAATCGAAAAGAAATGAAGCATCACTTACAATGATCGTAAACTAGTTATATTTCCAAGATATTCAGGAGCCGTTCCTATAAGATTGCAACTCCTTAGTATTCTGGAAACAATTCAACAATATGTAGATATATGAGAGAGCAGAAAAAGGCATTATCATCTCCAATTTTTTTGCTATCTTTTTCTAAGAGAATTTCATTATTGAGGTATTAACTCACAAAATGAAAATGATAATTAAATTACAGTAATAATTGAAGCATTTAACTCACAGTGATTGCAAATTTGTCAAGTTTTTAAGTGGAGGAAATTGAGAATCTGGTCCTTTCAAGTCACTAATTCTCCTACATCAGTTATCTTAAGCATTGTGAGGATAGAAAAAAGCAAATTAAATTTTGAAACCTTTGTTGTAATCAAAACAGCATACTTACAAGTCTGTGAGGTTGTTGAGAAATGCAATTCCAGAAGGAATTGGCCCACTAAAACCACTCCCATACATCACCCTATCACAATTAAAAACCATTTCTGTGATAAACCATTTAATAAATATATTTAAATTCCACTAGAAGAAAGATCCATACAGTCTCTCTAGACTTGTCCAACTCTGAATGAAATTAGGTAAAGTTCCAGAGAATTGATTGTCACCAAGTCGACTGTATTATAAGAGTGTAAGAAACAAAGAAATGTTACTTTTGATATGAAACATATAATATAGTGAATGCAATTGAGTATAATAAAATAATAAAGGAAGAACACTTACAGGTGCTTTAATGTAGTGAGCCTAGCAAATGTTGCAGGTAAATTTCCAGTAAAATAATTGGATGTAAGAAGCCTATAAGGCAAAATTAGGATTATCAAAAAATTATAGTACACTTTTTAAAAAAAATTTAAAGTACGTAACCCAAAGAAAAATTTAAATTTGATTCTCATCAGTGAACATTAAATATTTAAATATTCAATAGTAAAATCAACCAAAGAAAGCAGACAAATAGCTTACAGTCTTTCAAGCTGGGGGAGATTCCCAAGCTCTGGAGGAAGCACACCAGATAATTGGTTGAACTCTAGGACCCTAAGCACATTTCAAGTTTAAGATTAAAGTTTCTTCAAAATATTTCATAAAATTGAAATGGGCCGAAATATTCTAGGTGGATGACCACAATTAAACTTACAAACTCTTCAGGGTGGTGATGTTTCCTAATTCTTTTGGGACTGGACCTGTTAGCCGATTTCCAAGAATGGAACTGCAAAGATTAAGAAACGCATAACTAGTGTACTGTTTCATGAAATCGAATAATAAAATCTTTAAAAATAATCTAATATGGGTTTTTAGTTGCACCAAAATGAAATAATTAATGTTCACTTTTAGTTCCTAAAATATTTGTGTTCTTTTTTTGTTTCTCATTTTTCGAGATGTGTGACCTTTGTACTTCACCAAAAATGTGACTCTTTTTGTTCTTTTACGAGAATACATACTACACGTGATACATAGGCAATCTAAACATGACACATTTTTGTATGAATGAAAGACTAAAAAGATATAGATTTTTAAGGCCTAAAAAGAACGCACACCCTAATCATAGATTAAATATAAAACAAGATCTATTTGTCATAATCATACCCTAATGGTAATACCAAACAGGGAAAAAGTCAAATAGCAAGTCAAAGAAAGATTGAGAAAGAGAGTACATGTTGACAAGTTTCATGGAACCCCATTCTCGAGGGATTGTACCATTAAGGTAGTTGCGAGAGAGGTCACTGTACCAAATTGAAATGAAAGAATCAAGTTAGTGAATAATGATGATGTGATGAAGAGATGCAAGTTTAGGTGATAAAGTGTGGGTTCAGAATGACATACATTTCTTGGAGATATGGCAATCTCACTAGTTCACTAGGGAGTGTGCCCGAAAGATTTTGTGACTTGAGAACACTGCACCATAGTTATTGATCCAAACGTGAAAATAATAACTATAAAAAATATAGAAATTCTTTAAATACATAAATTAGAATAATTATGTTGAATGATAGCGTAGTTTATATTGAACAAAAGTATTTTTAAATATTTTTCTTAACCTCATATATATATATATATATATATATAT